CCCTGTGCCAGGAAGCCCTCACGCTGTGGGACTTTTGTGTAGCTCATTCGATGCATCTGCAAGCATCGTACCTCCTAGGAGTACAGAATGAGTTGGCGGACTGTCTCAGCAGGTCTTTTCACAGCCACGAGTGGTCCCTACGCCCAGGCGTCACGAACTCCATCTTCCAATGTTGCGGTTTTCTCCAGATGGACCTGTTCGCCTCGCCACGCAACGCAACAGGAAGTGCCAACAGTTTTGCTCCTTCCTGAATCACATCCCGGGCACCATCACAGACACGTTCCTCCTCCTCCCCTGGGGAGGCCGTCTCTTATATGCATTCCTGCCCATTCCTCTCATTCACAAGGTGCTCCTCAAGATATGGAGGGAAGAGGCTTCAGTGATATTGATAGCTCCAGCCTGTCCCCACCAACACTGGTACACAAATCTCCTGGAAATGTCCGTGGAAGCCTCAGTTACCTTGCCGCTCCTCCTGGATTTGATAACTCAGGATCATGGCCGTCTCCAGCACCCAAACCTCGAGTTGTTGCACCTCACAGCGTGGAAGCTGCATGGCTGAGCCCCACGGAGTTCTCCTGCTCAGACCCAGTTAAACAGTCATCCTTGGTGGTAGGAAACCCTCCACCAGGGCTACCTACCTTGCCAAGTGGAAGAGATTCTCAATCTGGTTGGCACAGCATCACCCATCCCCGACACTCACCTCTGTTCCACTCATACTAGACTCCTTTCTCCATCTCAAGTAGCAGGGGCTGTCCATGTCGTCAGTAAGGGTTCACTTGTCCCCCATCTCTGCCTTCCATCCAAGCTAAGAGGGCCGGTCGGTGTTTGCCAACCCTATGGTCAGCCATTTTCTGAAAGGTCTCGGCAGGCTATATCCGCATGTTCGGCAACCAACCCCAACCCGGGACCTCAATCTGGTCCTTTCCAAATTGATGGGTACGCCCTTTGAACCGCTGGCGACATATTCCCTGCTTTACCTGTCATTTAAGATGGCATTTCTGGTGGCGATAACCTCAGCCAGGAGGGTGTCTGAGCTCAAGGCCTTAACATGAGAGCCTCCTTACACCGTGTTCTATAAGGACAAGGTTCAGCTCAAGCCACATCCAGCTTTTTCCCAAAGGTGGTCTCCCAGTTTCACATCAACCAGAACATCTTCCTCCCACTGTTTTATCCTAAGCCACGCTTGAATGCAGAGAGCAGAGGCTTCATTCATTGGATGTCCGCAGAAATGTAACCTTTTACATTGAAAAAACGTTTAGGAAGTACATTCAACTGTTTGTGGCTGTGGCAGACGGGATGAAAGATCTTTCAGTCTTCTCCCAACAAATTTCCTCGTGGATCACATCCTGCATCCTTGAATGCTATAACCTGGCAGAGTTGCCTGCCCCTCTGCTCGCAGCGCACTCCACTAGGGTGCAAGCTTCTTTAGCCGCATTCCCAGCGCAAGTCCCGACCCAGAAAATATACAGCGCAGCGACGTGTTCCTCCATACATACTTTCACCGCACATTATATGATTACCCAGCAGGCCAAAGACGATGTGGCCTTCGGTAGAGCAGTGCTCCAGTTAGTGGACAGCTCCGACTTTCTTGTAACTGTTCTTCAAGATGTGGTGTTCATGTCATTCCAATACCCACCCACCTACCCCTCTGTCGGAGTAGCTGGCAAGAAGGAACTGAGGGGCTGGCAGGTCGGTCGGGCCCGGACCAACCCGACGGGGAAAAGTCTTCCGGCTGCCATGCACACACACACACCTGGTTGGAATGGACATGAACAACACATCTCGAAGAACGGCAGTTACGAGAAGATGAGTAACCATTTTTTTCTCTCTTTTGAAAACATTGTTATATTATGGCAGCACTCACAAAGGCCCGGCCTGATTCAGCAAGGTACTTAAAGACATGCCTAACTTTAACCGTGTGAATAGTCTCATGGAAATCAATCGTGAATAAGGGTCTAAAACAGTGACAGATAATGCTAAGTGTTTGAAAGTTCATTTTTGAACAAAGATCATATACACTCACTAACACTGCAGTCCTACAAACACTGACAATTTACGTAACTTTATGCTGCTTAGTATTCTAGTTAAATTCAATGGGACTACTTATGAATAAATTTAAGCTTTATTTAGTAATATTTCTTTAGCAGTCTGAAGTATCATAACCAATTGTTGGAGTTTTATATTAACAGTACTTCCACTGTAGCTCCACTGGTAAAGAAAGTACTTGGCAAGAATATGGAATGATTATGCAGCATTAGTGAAGAAAAATGTGCCATCTATATTTTATGGCTGGTAATCTGTTTTCAATTTCACTTGTTTTTTGATACTCTGCTGAAGCAAAATTGCTCATCTCAAAAGTCTTGGAAGCACATTTTCAAATTCTAATTTTAACTCAGATCTGTACAGAGACTAGTTTAGAAATATGTTGAATTACTGAGGAGAGCCCTACATTATTTCTCTTTATTAGATTTTTTCGGTCCAAGGAAAAGATTACTAACATGCTAACTGCTTTAGCAGCTTTCCCCTAGATGAAGAATCTCATTTTTGAAAGTTACTTTATAATCTGCCACAGATATTACAGTATCAGAAAAATGGGTGACATTTATTCTGCCATATTAAACATGCCGTACAATGAAGGCTTTTGTTCTAGTTTTAATGTGCTTCAGTATCTATTTTACCTCAGAGATTCAGGAATACAAGATTGTTTGTTTGTATCAGTGCTTAAGAAGTGGGGAATGAAGTAAATGCCTTCATTTAAAAAACATTTCTAGAAGAGACTTTTAAATTTTGTAATATAGGCTATTACAGAATAATAGGATATTGTATTTATTCATTGTTCTGATGTAATAAAATGTATGTGATTTTGCTGGCTTCAACCTTTCAGAGTAAAGTAATACGAGAGAGGCAAGGACTCCAGGCTTTCCCACCAATGGCCTGGGACTAATTCATGTCACATGTATAAGACAAAAGTAAAACTCCAGGCGGTCCTGAACTAAGTTTGATATGTGCGTCTCCATCAAAAATCTGACAGTACTCTGTAGTGTTAATCTATGTTATGGGGAAGAATTCAAATCCATAAATTCAGGGGTGAACTATTATTTAGTGTTTTCAGTTGTTTCCTCCAGGCTATCAAAATTTGTTCAGTCCTCCTTGTGGAGATTGAAGATATTTCAGAACTGTTGGCCTGATGAGGTGATGGTTCACTTAAGGGTCTTGCTGAAGGTTTTGCCTTTGTCCAAAAGGCCAACTGAGCATGGTGTTGCCTGGATCCTGGCTGCTACCCTCCCGTAGTGCAAGTATCAGGGAAGTCATTGCATTACTTGTGGCATTGAACAAACCCCATGGGATGTGGCCCTATCCCATTTTGCGCTGGCCAGCTGTCCAAGACCAGTGTTGGGACAGAAGATGCTGTTTCTCCAGGAAGGAGTAGGAGTTACTCCTACAGGCACTCCCAGAAGTATTCTGTCTGCATCAGCATTGCACATGGAAAGTATCTCCAGCCACGTGTGTGGTGTCTTTCCATGCGTGCTCACTGTGATCCCTGGAGCTGCAATATAGCCCTTAAGTGCAAGTGTTTTACACTAATGGTAATTCAGCGTTTTAAAATTATAGGTTATCAGATTCTGTAATGGGGACCGGATCCCACTATCAGTTACCCAGGTAGTCTCCATCAGGCAGCCAATTACTATCTGCTGTACCCACAGGAAATAGGTGGACTTCTACCCTTAGATATAATTGAAGCTGTGGTTAGAAATTAGCTTTTGAATATAAATCCAGACTTGACACAGTACTCCCTCTTCCATAAACTTTGCTTTATGATGAACACTTAATAACTATAATTAGGGTTTACATCCAGCCTGTTGGAAATATTGATTTGTTGATGGAAATATTGATGCGGAGCTTCGTCTACACTGTGATAGCTACTAATGGAAGCATCAGAAAAGGCATGTGCCTGAGCTACTTTATCATCTTGAAAGTGTGCTTATTGAACATGAAATTCACCCCTCTTCACTCAATTCCCAAGTATTTAGGTTTTGCACAATGAATTCCATGGAGCTGCCCCAGCTCTGCAGCCGCTGTTCCAACCCATGTGATAGAATAGTGACTTCTGCCCCTCTATGGCTCTTGTACAATGGTGTTTGTACCACTGGATTTGCATACGTGAAGATCTGCATAAGTGAAGATCCAGTTGCCCCCCTCCAATCTGTCCCATTTGGAGCTAGTGTGGAGCCCCCTTTAATGGTGCAAAGGTTCTCTGGTACCACTGCTTCACCTGTGATTTTCCTCAACCCCTACTGCAGCCTACCGCTACCTCTGGAAATAGTGGGAGGTTTCCACAACTTCTTGCACCATGTATTCACATTAGTATGAATTTCAGCTTTCCCTGTTGCTAGCCTAGCCCATTGTCTTCCCTGGCCATCTTTCAATAATAAAAATCCCTTCAGTTTCTTTGTCTTGTGCAAAATACCTAAAGGTTTGTAGTCTGCTAGTAGAGGTTATTCATGCAGGTTCAGTGGTTCTAAAGTCTTACTGGAAATGACTTTTTCAATGAATCCACTGTATTCACTGTTGACTGTTAAAATACGTGACTCATATCAGGTATTGAATTTAATGAGTTCCTTTTTACATCTACTTTTTGGTAGATTTTATTTGACTTTTTTTTCCTAATTCTTGAAAGTAGAAACAGCTGAGATGTTTGTAAATTGTAAGACAAGGACAATAATAACAGTATCGTATATAGAAAAGGAGTACTTGTGGCACCTTAGAGACTAACAAATTTATTTGAGCATAAGCTTTTGTGAGCTACAGCTGAATGCATCCGATGAAGTGAGCTGTAGCTCACGAAAGCTTATGCTCAAATAAATTTGTTAGCCTCTAAGGTGCCACAAGTACTCCTTTTCTTTTTGCGAATACAGACTAACACGGCTGCTACTCTGAAAAGTATCGTATACATATTCTATATGTCCAAACTATTTCCTGCTTTTGTTTTCTGTCTACAGATCCAGCAAGAACAAAGAAACCACACTGTAGAGCCTGTTATAGATGACTATAAAAAGATGGGGACTCTCTTTGGTGAACTAAACAAAAGCCTTATCAGCATAGGCTTCACAAGGATGTATTTTGGAGAACGGATTGTGGAACCTGTAATAGTCATATTCTTCTGGGTTATGCTTTGGTTCCTTGGCTTACAAGCTCTTGGACTAGTTGCTGTTTTGTGCCTTGTCATTATATACGTGCAACAGTAGAGTATGGTGAATGGCCTGCTGGATAACATATTACAACCATGTCACCTTTCAGTGGATTTATGTGTTTAAGCAAACAGTGGCATATTAAAGGCTGCAATTTTCCAAATCATGCTACACATTACATTTGTGAGACTAAAATTTACATACTCATTTTAAAGGAAGTCATCAGTCCTAGCACATATCCAAAGGGAATGAAAAGGATATGCTCTCAATAATGGTACTGTCCAAAGTAACTTACTCTTTCGAAGGCCTTGTCTACACAGTACGTTAGTACACAGCAAGCCAGGGTGTGAATCTACTGTCAAATACTAACTTGGTGTGGACAAGCCCTGAGTGAGGGTATGTGAGCCACTGCACTCTTGAGGGCTCAGTCCTAGGTTGTCTTTTTATTAAATGTGGTATAAAAACACCTCCATCCAAATGGGGTCAGCCTCTCTTCTATGGTGTGGCTGATATTTTGAAATGACAGGTTCTTGTGTAATGGAAATTCCTCTCTGTTTTGAAGAGTACAAATAACCATGAGTTTTATGTTCTGTTATTTTTACATTGTTCTCCTGTAAGCTTTTTGAAAGCTGGACCCTGAAATCTGTTAACTAAATAAAAATGTGTTCTTCCACTGGCTTGCGCGTGTGTGCACACACATTAGTTACTGTAATGCCAGGCCTACATTAGAAAAGGTTTGTCAGTCTAGCTATACTGACATAACTATCCCAGCTTATACTGGCAAAAAAGCACTGTTGCCAGTATAACTGTATCTACCCTAAGGCTTTTGCCAATATATAATTATGAGAGAAGAATCACACCCCTAACGGACTCTGCTGTGCTGGCAAAGTTTCTAGCGTAGACTAGGCCTAGGTCTACTCGTGTGCTTGGCTTTGGCCATTAATGCCTTTTTTAAATATCAGAACAGTTCTCTTAAAAGAAATAATTTGGGGACTTTTTCAAATTAATATAAATCCCCACCCCTGCAACTACTATTCCAGCTAATGTGCTTGAATACTGACCACAGCCCCTCTACACCTCATGCACAGGAGGGTTGAATTACTAGTATTAAATGTGAATCTATTAACTTTGATGGTGATTCTGGTTTACTGCAGTCTAGGCCCAGTCCTAACTTAGATGCAAGTTTTGCTTGTACAAGCACAGCAGACCCAGGCCCTAATGTAAGATATAAGCAATTACACAAGTAAGATAAGTATAGATAGATTTCAGCTGCAGTCTTACTCAGGAATTTTTGGTGTTTGATTTGGAAATATACCATCTAGAGATGCATGTTGTAAGCTGAAATATCAGAGAATAAGATATAATATTGTATAGAGTTTTAAAATAAATCTGTAAAATCCACTTTGGTAATATAGGATCCAATCCTGAGAAGTGCTGAGCAGAGGAAAGGCCAGAGAAAATCTTCACTTAATAGGCTAAAAATTTAGCACCTCTCAAAACATTGTATTTATTTTAAATACAGAATTGACCCTTTCCATATGCATTTTATCATTATTACATTTGTTTAAATAAAGCAGTTTACAATTTAAGATATAAGCTTTTGAAATGCTACTTTACTTTTGTTTTTGCAAATATTTTTGGATTGACGGACCTTAACCATGTGTAGTTTTAGTTATTTACAAACTATGGGCTTCATTTAAAGACCATTGAACACAATGAAAACAATCTCTATTGCCCTGATCCTTTAGTTAATTGGGTCCTTAGGAATATTGGAGTCCATGGCCTGCACACATTGATCCAGTTGCAGGACCTGTGGAGCCATTCCTTGTAAACTTTTACAACCATTGAAACCAATTACTGTTTGTGGTTTTAAGCACTAAGGCCCCAATCCTGCAACATTTCATGTATATGTTTACCTCTGTAAGTAGCCCCACTGCATTAATGAGACTGTTTGCATGTGAGAAGTTAAGCTCAGCTGTAAGTGTGTGTTGACTGGGCCCAGGTTAAAGAATATATCAGTCTGTACATGAGTAAAATAAGTATACTGATGACATAGGAATACTGTACATCATAAAATATTCTCATATATATTTTACTCAAACATTGCTGGAAATCTGGATTTCCAAAAGCTAAGTATGAATACAATTTGAATGTAATGGAAGGAGCTCTGGACCCACAAGTGCCTAAGGATAAACATTTAAAAATCCTTTAAAAAATAATATATACATAGTATGTTTGTGTATTGTTTATATATAGTTGTGGTTTTGTGTGTGTATGTATATATGGGCTGTATTACAAAATTTGCTTATTTTTTACATGTCATGTCTTTTTCCTCCTATACAAGTTATTGTTCAGAGCATTTCATCTGAACCCTTTTGCCTTGTAGGGAAAAGGTCAATGTCTTGTAGGATATTCCCTGTTGCTGAGACTGTGTGTGCACAGACTGTGTGTTGTGATGCAGAATACACTAATTTCCTGAAGTGAAAGGAAACCTTCCATTGTTTTGGAATTTAAGGAATAGCTGGCCAAAACTGGGGCTGCTTGATCACAGACACAGAAATGAAGTAGGGAAGACAGTATAGTTATCTGCATATAATTTGTTGTCTGTGCATAGTAATGATCACAAACAATATGCATATAATCATCCCAGTAGCTCTCCTTCCCACGCGTCATGTAACACACATTCATAAAAAGGTGGTTCTTTCCTTTTGAACTAAAATCAAGTATAGTGTCAGCTATGTCTGTCCTCTTTTGAAGGATACTATATTCTGCCCTACAAGTCTTTCATATCTGCATTTTATGACCCTTTAAAAAAAAAAAAAAGCTCCCTCTATTATTGAAACTTAACGTGGAATAGATGGAGATGGACAAATCTATCATTTGGACGCCTCTCTCCCTCCCTTTTCCTCTTTAAACACCCCCCCCGCTTTCTGTAATGTCCCCTACTTCATTACTTATAGTCTGTATTGTATACAGGATTGTCCGCCTTTAATATCTATATGTTACAGCATTTCCCTTCCCTGTTTTTCTTTGTTTTGGTTGGTTCTTTTTTTTTATTTTTGAGGGTGAACTGGGGAAGACATTCCATTATATTGAAAATGGCTTTAAATGAGCAACGTAACTGAACAAAGATGTGTATCAAAAGAAAATATGTTGTAAAATTGTGTCAAATATTGTGAGAAAATGTATGAGTACCCTTTGTATTGCTTCTTCCACCCACCCCCAAAGTACAGTTTGAAGTCATTGGAAGTTTTGGATATGCAAAGAGTGCAGAATAGAGACCCTACTTCAGAAATAAAGGGAGAATGTAAATTTTGTTTGGATACAAGGGGTATAGTCTCATGCTGAAAATCATTAAAATTAATACAGGCGACTCAGTCTCTCTCTCCAGTTCTAATTACATATCTATGTATGTTTGTATACAGTGATTGTATAAAAGAATTACATCACCCAAATTCTTATTAAATAATGAACTGTGTAATCCTCATTGGTCTTTGGGGCAGATAATAAGAACTGTGTCTCCAAAAGAGTCTTCAGATGCTTAAATGTTTGAATTACTATGTACAGGGAGGAAACTGCACATACAGCAAAGCTGATGGAACCTCATTTGTACTGAAAATTGACATATTGTAACTGTCCATAAGGGGGAAAATGTTGTTTCCTGGAGATATTTGTGTGACATAAGTCTTATTGAAAGAACTTTGTTACTCTTTCTAATAAAATGTATTCTGTCCTCACATGAATTTATTGTTTTTCCCCTCTGTGGTGTTCTGTCTTACATTTGGAAGCAGCTAACTGATTAATAAAATATATCTGATATGTCTTGATAATCCACTGATTTCAACTGAATTTAAAATTATTGTAAATCAGCTATGGAAAGGTCGACAGATGCTCATCAGTGGACTATAGCAGCTGTTGGTAACTGCATACAGCATCACATAACTAAAAGTTAAAATGTCAAAGAATATAAACTGTCTCATTCCAAAAATCTGTGTAATCTCGTTTCAGCTTCAGTGGCTGGAGGGTTTTCTGGTTAAGGGTGCAACCTGTGGAGGAACTAGATTTGGTCAGTAGCATGAGAGAGACTTTATAAGCCCATAACTTGTAGACCTCTAAATAGTCATCTTTGTTTAACACTCGTGAATGATACACAGCCCAAGATATACCAAAGTGTATCCACATCAAACTCTTCTTTCTCATTCATCAACCCAGAAGTTGTTTCATTTCAGGCCATTCCAAAAAATGCATGTGTCTACCAGTGGTTCTCAACCAGGGGGTATGCATACCCTATGGGTACACAGAGATCTTACAGGGGGTACAGCAACTCACCCTAGATGTTTACCTAGTTTACAGTAGGCTACATAAAAAGCACTAGTGAAGTCAGTACAAACTAAAATTTCATACAATAACTTGTTTATACTGCTCTATATACTATACACTGAAATGTAAGTGCAATATTTACACTCCAAGTGATTTATAATTATATGGTTAAAATGAGTCAGCAATTTTTCAGTAATAGTGGGCTGTGACACTTTTGTATTCCTTTGTCTGACTTTGTAAGCAAGTAGTTTTTAAGCGAGGTGAAACTTGGGGGATACACAAGACAAATCAGACTCCTGAAAGGGGTATAGTAGTCTGGAAAGGTTAACAACACTGGTTTATACCACACAAAAAGCCAGAACTGGTAAGGCAACATAGGGATTGATCTGCTTTAGAACAATTGTGTAGAAGGCCTTGGGGCCCAGTTCTGCAAATTTATGTGAATAGTCTTACTTGAAGTATGAGACCGCTCGCATGAGTAATAGGTTGCAGGATCAGGCCCATGGTCATTATTTTCCAGTAAAATTCCTTGCAATGTGGGATGCTACCGATTTCCCAAGCATCTTGGTTAACTTCTCCGTATAAGAATTTTTAGTCCTATGTACTTGTGCCTTTAAGAGTACTTTAGTTTTTGTTTTATATTCTATAGCTTATCTATTCAATGTGTACCTAAATTCCATTCTTAGAAAACTCTAACTTTCTTATAATGGGGACAGAATAGTTTCAAAAGGGAAGCTTACAAATACTCTAATCGGTCTGGTTATTTCTAATGCACGTTTATACTTGGTGTCTATTGTAAGGTAATAAAGGTGGAAGAGGTTCATGTTTCACCACAACACACTGAAAATCTAACTCTTCCTTTCCGTCCCAATGGTGAAAACACTTGTTCACACCCTGCTAATTTCCCATCTTGATTATTGCAACTTCTTTTATCTGGCCTCCTTGACTCTCCTTTGGACAGTCTCTCCAGAGTTATGTTCCTCACTCATCTATCAGGCTGTATCACTAGCTCCCTCTTGCCTACCACACCAGTTTTAAACTTCCTATTTCCTTGCACAACTTTGCCTCAGCCTACCTCTTGGATCTCATTTGTTAGCTCCTTTGCTCCATCAACAAAGACAGCCTGATCACCACCACCTTTCCTTCACCTGTTCCTAGCTTTGTCTTTTCTCCATGCTACTTCATGTGCATAGAACAACCTGATGAAAGTTCCACAGACACTAATTTTACTGTTTCAGTTGTCTTCTCTGCTCTAGCTTTATACCAGAGATGCATATGGAAGAGAGGACTTCTTACAAAAAGAACTGAAGTCCTCATTTCTTAGTGTGTTTGTCTTGTCTGTGTCTGCCTTATAGGGTGCAAACTCCATGGAGCAGCAACTGTATTCATTTGTGTCTTGGATGACCCTGATTACATGTTTGGTGCTTAGCAAATTAATGCTGTCAGGTGCAGTGTTTAAAAATGTTTTATCAAGTGCTTGCAAAACATTTTCTCAGAGTGAATAAAGTGAAGAAACTGGAAGAATAGAGTCATCTGTCCAAGGGAAAGTTATTTTAAAAGGTTAAAATGTTATGGGTCAATGGGAGAGAATACCTTTCTGGTGAGGCAGTTGCTGACCTATGTCCAGCTGCAGATGAATTAGCTTCCTTCCAATCCACCAGCTACCAAAGCTAATGGGGAGAAAGGACCATCTCTCCCTACAAGGCCCAAGGAATCAGTGAGGTCTGTTTTAGCAAGATGCTGATGGCAGCTTGGAGTGGAAGGGCATAAAAGAGGGGGGATTGCCTCTCCACTGGCCAGGAATTGGTCCAATGGCATTAAAGGGAAATAGAGGGAGAATTAATACAGGACTGAATGCAGGATCTAGGATTTGTTATATCCATTCATCTTGTATTTTGCTTTCTATCCTGGGTGTGAGAACAACCCGGTGGTTTTGTTGCTTGTCTTTGCTTCCCAGTTTGTGCCCACAACAAGCACTATTTGCAAGCAATTTGTGTGTCTGCCTTTCTAACCTGCCTTGCTGTGTCCTCTGTCAAGGTATTTTAAATATACCCCTTACTGTGTATCTATTTTAAAGCATTAACATTGATTGATCTAATCTCCCAAACCCCATTTTTAGGAGCTGGAGGTATCATTTGTTTTGTGCAGTAGGAGCCGAGTTCATCAGTGAGAAACTGCTCTTGGCTTCCCAGCAAGGGAGGGAACTGATTATTTCAGTATGCCTGTAGCAGTTTGGGTTTCATAGAGGACTTCTGAGAGTACTATGGAGAAGAGCCTGTTGGATGCATACGAGTATACCAGGATAGGAGGTGGACATCAGCCTTCTTCCTCCCTTCATTTACAAAGACTACCTGCTTGGGATAATTATTTCTGCTTTTTAGTAAACCTCTATTCTTTTTCTCTCAAAAAAAACAGCTTGTCTCAAAACAACACAGCCATGCCTCCCTCTGTGCTTGCAACAAAGGAAATGTTAGGAACCAAAGTCCCATTTTCAAAAGAGACAGGCAGTCAGGAATCTTAGGGCTCAGCTACACTAATATTTAATTTGTGGCAAGCGGAGGTGTGGATCTAACCTACCCTAGCCTGCCATGGTCCAACAGTCCATTCTGGTGGCTCACACTGACAGTTTGTTAGTGCATGAACTGTTAATATGTGCCAGCAGGGTCCACACAGACAGACTGTGGGAAGCTAATGTGAGGTAGATTCATGCCTCAGTTTGCCACAAACTAAATGTTTATGTAGATAAGCCCTTTGTCTTACTGACTTTCTGTGAGACTCAAGTGCCTAAGTTACTTTTGAAAATGGAACTTTAAACTCCTAAATAACTTGTTTTTGAAAATTTTATCAGAGTGAAGCTAAATCCACTGATTCATATCTCTTTAAAAATCTGTATAATCGTGTTCTTTTAGGATCAATACTTCCCCCTCCAAATTACTGGTTCTCGAAGAGTGAGAAAATCTAGACAGTGTTTAAGGAACACTGGTGCAGGTTACAGTAAAGCGTTCTGGCATATCTATATTAATGCTATCTTGCTAATGTCACACACTAAAACGAGTTCTCCAGCATTTCCTTTACAGTCACTTTGTGTATTCATGCATCTTGTAAAAGGCCTTGCTAGAGCTGACATCAGCCAAGTATCTGCTTTCTTCAGGCATTTTAGCCCTTTAAGCTCAGGACTGTATGTCCCTCCTCCCTAGCTGATCTTACTTTGTCTGTAGATAGCTGAGCTCCAGAAAATGGCCCTGCTTTTCCCTAAAGAGAGTGGAAATACAGTTTAGCAAACTGCATCCTTTTCCTGGTCTTAATAGGATTAGTAAAAGCATATGATGATGATAAAATTTTTCAGTAAGAATAAAACTTTCTCTGCCCTAAAGCTTGAATTTATTTCAATAAATATCTTCTACAATTGCACTGTTGCTGGAAAAAAGATTTAACAGCTTGATTCTATTACCTAACTCTGATTTCTAGCCCTCTAATTACTTATGCTAAGTGGTGCTGTTTAGTGTCACCCAACATAATTAAATAATATTCTAAGTTTGTACTCTGTTAATCATGATTCCTAGTTTCTCAATTGCCAGCAGCAATCAGAAAGGTAAAAAGGAAACTATTTGGCTCTGTTGTGTTTTCAGTGAAGCATTACCTAACGCCTCATGCTTGATTGATTCTTATTGCAGCTATTCAAAAAACAAACACAAGTTATTGCTAACTGACTCCTTTGTTAACTTAACCTTTAAATCACTCCCTTATTTTTCCTATCTTGTGCAGTAGCCATCACCATTCAGTCCACTTTACACTTGTAACATCTACTGTCTTGGGGAATTCAGTTCCCATACAGGGGCTGCATTTGTCATGGTTATAGAACAGTTGAATAAGGCAGTGGAGGCAGGATTGTATCATAATTTAAGTATTCCTCAACTGTGCTTCAGCATTGGACTTTATCATTGTTCTGTCCTGTCTACAATGCAAGCCTTAGCCAGGTTTTTACCTTTCTTAAATGAATTCTGTGTTATAAGCATGTGGCTGTTAATGTAAATAGGACCTTAAAACAGTAAGAACTTATTTGTGTATTGATTGCCATCTACAGTTTCCCATAGGACTGAGCAATGAACCATAATGGCAATTTTTGCAGGAATCAGCAACAAATAAGCTAAAAAATACTTTCAGGTGAAAAAACAGGGAGTATTTGTGGCACCTTAGAGACTAACAAATTTATTTGGGCATAAGCTTTCATGGGTAAAACCCACTTCATCAGATGCATGGAGTGGAAAATACAGTAGGCAGGTATACACAGTACATGGAAAAGATGGGAGTTGCCTTACCAAGTTGAGGGTCAGTGCTAATGAGACAATTCAATTAAAGTGGAAGTGGGCTATTCTCAACAGTAGAATACCAAGGGAGGAAAAATCACTTTTGTAATCAGGAT